ATTTTGGCTCCTCATCACCATACTTATAAAATAGTGTTTATTGTTATTGTAATTTCACTGTCATTGAAAAGTCATATTAGTATTGGTTATTGACGTTTACTCTAGTGGAGATGATTTTAAGTTCTGAGTTCTAAAGTTTCGGGTATTGCATAGATAAATGCAACATGTTTAGATTGGTAAGCCCGTAAAAATTTTGGGTCGCGAAATTATTTTGGGTCGCGACCGTTATACGCGATCTGGCGCTGCTATAGCGGTCGCTAAGAACAACGGCAAACAAAAACAGAAATAATTTTCTCTTGTCAAAGTCAGAATCTTCAAAAATCATAATAATCTTTCAAAATCTAAACCGCTCTCATTAAATTAATTCCGAAATTGTTTTTTATAGCGTTTATTTTAAAGTAATTATGATTTTATCTTGTGAGTTCAATTCAAGGTTTATTTACTCCAACCGGTGATAATTGTGAAAAAGTCTGCATTAAAACTTAAAAAGCTAGTGCTGTGAACTGTGATCTGCAAAAACCATCGTGGATCGTGGCATAACGTCGGTTTCCAATGTTTCATAGGTATTTCATACATGCGTCCTTATATAAAATAAAGTTTCTTGTATGCAACACACTGTATTTTATTTATAAAATTAAACGAAAATAATAATAAATTTGAATAAACAATATTTGGCGATATAATTCCGGAAAAAGCCGAACCGCTCCGAAATTTTCAAGTTTTGGGTCGCGACCGTTGCAAGAATAGCGCCAAATAGTGTTTACATTGTCCTTATGGGCACTTTCCAATCTAAACTTGTTTCATTTATCTATGGGGTATTGCTGCTTTAGTTTATCATGGCAGAGATCAACTTTTGGACATAAAACCATATCTGCTAGGGTAACTACCCAACAGACAATAATATACTATGATTTTTCAAAGACAGTGACATTACATAAATCATAAACACTATTTTATTGTTTTGGTGACTAGGACCAAAAGCAAGGGCATTGTTTTAATGTAAAAAATACGAAAAAATGTTAGTGACTTCTTCAAAAGCAAATATCTCCAACAACAGCAATAGTAAAAAAGATGAGAATTACTCAAAGATGACATCTATTTAATATTCCAAGTACTCGTGTCAAAACATTATGTTAAAATACACATTGAATATTTTGTAGAAAACCAACTCCCAAAAAGTGTTGTTGTCCTATTATCGACAAATAAAAGATAAAGTGCCCTCGTATGTTGCCAATTTGTCAAGCTCATAATTGAAATCGGCCTTGAACAAATAGTACGTGTATTTTAACTGTACCATTACCGAAGTATGTAATTAACTCATTAGAGTTTATTTAAACAACGTTTCAGTATACGCTAAAATGAACGAACAACACGAAGAAACCGTAGCTCCAGAATACTTAATTCATTACAATCATTTACTTACAACAGTAAAAAATATTATTTAACATAGAAAAGGAATAAAAATCTTAAAATGTTATGTACAATGAAATGTAATTCAGAATGGTTTATTGCAATTATTTGATGGCTATTTTATTTCTTGTTTAGATGATTAAATACGTGATAATTTAAATAATTAATTGTTATTACTTTTAGTACAAAATTTATGTATAATACAGTGTCATTCAGCTGTATTAACACAATAAATCACATCTGTTATTAAATTACTGGGAAAGTCTTCAACTAATGGAGGCTCAAGTAAGAGTAGTATTGTCCACAATATTTATTAATTTTCGATTCAAACAATTAAACTAATCTTTTTTAGATCTGCAGATAAAAGTTATAATGTATTTCTTCGTTTTTATAATTTAGTTCTTCAATTATGTTCAATGATATAAAAAACAACAAACAATTATTGTAAAAGTCGGCTGTCAATATAATATAGCCAAAACACAATATAAATAGTGTTTTAATTTACCTACCTTCTTTTAACAATAACCTTTTATTAATAAATATAGAGAAACTGAAGCTAGTTTATAGGCATCCTAGGATGGTCCGAATTGTATACGGGAAACTTCGGCAGCATATTCTGCAGATAAAAATAAGTAAAAAAAAATCGTATGTCAAAAAATGCTTCGTTTCGGAGATACAGGGTGTAGAAGTTTCATTTTTATTTCTTTTTTTTTCAAATAATTTCTGAACTAACGACGACATTTGAATGAAAATGGGTGTTTGGGCAATTTTGATTTCTATATCAATATAACTTCTACATGCAGGAGGCACCACCTACAATAACTTTTCATCCGTACCTGTATAAAACTACTCAGTGAAAAAATATACATTTTCGTAATTTTTTCCGTAAAAAATGATTCTTGGTAAAAATCGCTACGAGTAACCATTTTCAAGATATTTGGAATGGAAATAGTCAATACGTCATTATTGACAAAAAATAAACATGTTACTAGATTTGGGAACTTTTGATTTTTTTAAGCCAATCATGAAATTTTCTAGAAAAATATACGATAAAACAGTTTTTGTTGAATCTTTGGCACAAAAACATTTCAAATTTATTATTTCAGACCAATAACTATCCAATCAACATGTATAATTTTTATGTTATATGCGTATATATTTTATGTATTGCGATTCTTATCAAGAGAGTTTTATCCCAAAAAAGACGGAAATATATGTCTTCACTCTGTTGGTTGGTTGGTTGGTTGGTTGAAGTGGCGAGTGCGACCACTTGTCGATCTCCAATTAGCAGAATTGCCGTTTTGATACCACTCACTCTGAGACCCTATCCCTAGAGATGGAAAACTTGGACTGTTAATTGTTTATAACCATTCGGTGGCATTAAGGTAACGGGTGACATCCGTTATGCTCTTCCCGGCAACATCTTCAAGATTTACAAAGCTATTACCACCGAGGAAACGGTTTCGAGTCCTATACAAAGCCGGACAGCGGCACAGGAAATGCAGAACCGTTTCCCTTTGTTTCGGGTCCTTGCAGCTTCGGCAAACTTTGTTAAAAGGGATGCCCATTCTCACCGCATGTTCGCCAATTGGCCAGTGCCCCGTATATACCACCGTAAGCCTGGCGATATCCTTATGCAACTTAGTTAAGAGCTCTCCCGATTTCTTAAGGTCGTATTTGGGCCAAGTTTTCCTGGCTATCCTGCAGGTGCTTAAAGTTTTCCATCTACTTTTCGCCACAGATAGAAAATGGTGGTAAATGTCTGTTTTTATGGTATTGAGGGGAGTAAAAACTTCCTCTGATGCATCTAGCTCAAGGCACGATCCTCGCCTTGCAAGTTCATCAGCGCGTTCGTTCACTTCGATGTTCCTGTGGCCTGGAACCCAAAGCAAGTTTATATCATACCTACTTGCCACGTAGGATAACTTGTCGTACGTTTTTGACTATTTTGGAGGATATTGTAGATGAGTTTAGCGCCAACATGGCTGCTTGGCGAGTGTTGTCTCCCACTCCTTTGAGACCCCCTTGTGAGTCTCCCACTCCTTTCTGGTTGGAATTCTGACTAGAAAGTTCTTGCCAAGTTCCAACCTAGGTGTCAGTCTGATAGTCCAGCAATAATATCCTTCGGTAATCTTCCAAGAATACTCAGTAGTGTAATACAGGTAAGGACCAAAAGTTATTACTTTTAAAACAACTAAGAAATAAGTAAGTGGCGCCCCCTACAAGTATGAGTCATGTTGACATCAAAATCGAATTTATCATGTCAAAACACATTCAGACACCAATTTTCATTCAAATATCGGCGTTAGCTTAGAAATTATTTTAAAAAAATCGAAATAAAAATGCAACTTCTACTACTACTAATGTATCTTCAAAACGAAGCATTTTAAGACATAAATTTATACGAACTTTCTTACTTATTTTTATCTGTAGAATACACTGCCAAAGTTTCCCGAATACAATTCGGACCATCTTGTATACCGGGTGCGTGTCAAAAGTGACTCACCCCTATAACTTTTTTGTTTTTCAGATAGAAAAACTAGATTTGGTATGTTAGTATATGACATAAATTAAGCTTGTTTGATATACTCAATTCTTTTTGGTCACTTCCTGTTTCGCCGGAAATGACTACAACTTTTGATTTTTAAATGACACCCTCGGTATTGTTTTACTTTATTCGTCGTATCAAATTATTCGTAAAAAATGTTCTTTCCAATTATGCTAATGAACCACCCTTGTTTCATTTGAAAAAATTGAGATATGATTAAAAATACGATTTAGGTATCTTTTATCCGCTCAGGACAAGACACGAAAATCATTAGAGGACCAAATGTATTTTTCCAAGGCTCCTTGATAAAAATTAGCGTTTTTAACAGTCATGACACTCTAGATTGTACAGTATTGTACGGTATTTTAAATTTCAATTTCGAGTCAAATTGTCGAGATTTATTGTCGCGACACTCTTAATTGCAATTTAAAATTCAAGTTTTATTAAGAGAAAATTTCAAGAACATTTCACACGGGCTATGTCATTCTCAGAGTATAATTTTCTATGAAATTTCCGAAAAAAATCCGAGGGTACCATTTAAACCGAAAGTAATTGGAAACTTGGAAACGGCAATCAATCCTGGTTTATGTCCCATACTAAAATACAAATTTCGTATTTTTATCTGAAAAAATAAAAAGTTGAGAGTGATCCACTATTAAAAAACACCCTGTATTTATATGAATATACTAATGCTTTTCGACCTATTAGTGAAAATAAATAAAAATGATTTCCATGTCATTTATAAAATTCACCATAATAACGAAATCAAAATAATAAAAATTAAAAAAAAAATATTATTCAAAAAATATTTATATTTTTTCTGCAGCAAACAGCTATTACTTGAATGATTTTTTTTGCATAGACTGTTCTTTTACATTCCATACATAATTTTAAATTCCAAAAACGGTATAATATTTAATTTTTATTCCTAAAAACGTAAATACATAAATAAAAACATTTCCTTTCTGTAAATATCCCATAACCTGACACACAAGAAACAATTCCCGTCACCACATACAGTTCCCATTCGAAATTTCCTTACCCTTTTCTGATCAGGTCCGTCCCTCTTCACCCAAATATCCTCCTCGCTACCGTTACAGTCCACCCCGGTACTACTGGACCCCGGACTCTTCAACTCGATCAGCGACGAATCGAAGAACTTGTTGTCCAGATGCGGACTAGCCAGGGGACTCCTATTGGCGAATATCGAATACGCCGGTATCCTTTGAGACTGTTGCGGAATGGCGCCCACCGTATTACTCATTTTGTACTGTTGCCTGGAAGCGAAGATTTTCGCCGCGTCCGACATGTATTTCTTCTTGCTGGCCTCGCTGGAAAAGGTGGCGCTGTTGGAGGGTTTTATGGGCGCGATGTTTACCGAAGAATCGACATTTTCGACAGAAGCTGCTGCGGGTTCCTGGTGCTGCTGTTTGGTCTTGGTTATCACGAATTTGTGCGTGGGTCCCGTCACGGTATCTATCACAGACGTTTTGGAGCTGCTGGACGATTCCGACAGGGAATCGCTCACGCTGGCTACGGAAGAAGCGTTGGAACAAGGCACTGTGTTCTGGAAAACGGTAAACGTAGATAGATTATGACGATGAAGGGAGAGACAGAGAGAGAGAAAGACAACATAAATAAATATAATTTAAAATATTGAAATAAAAAAAGTAATAATAAACTAAATATTGTATTTGTGAAATTTAGATTTGAATTTGCCTAGATATACCGACTGCGTCTCAAAAGTGACTCACCTCTATAATTTTTTTATTTTTTCAGATAAAAAATCGAAATTTGGTTTGTTAGTATATGACATAAATTAGGATTGATTGACGTATTCAATTGTTTTCGGTCACTTCCTGTTTCACCGGAAATTACTACAACTTTTGATTTTTAAATAGCGCCCTTGGTATTTTTTACTTTATTTGATAGAAAATGGTACTCTGAATAGAATAATATAATATGTCAACTTTTGACATTTTCTAATATGGTTTATTTGAAATTGTAAGATTCGGTTCATAACGACAATTTGACTCGAAATACCAAGTGTGTGATACCAAATTATTCGTAAAAAAATATTTTTTCCAAATATGCTAATGAACCAGACTCGTTCCATTTGAAAAAAATGAGATATGATTAAAAATACGATTTGGGCATGTTTTAACCCGCCAGGACAAGACACTAAAATCATTAGATGATCAATATATGTTTCCATGAAGGCTCCATGATTAAGAATTATTGTTTCTAACACAGCAATGGTACCCTAGATTAAAATTTAAAATACAATTTTGTTTTAAACGAAGATGTCAAAAGTAGACATGTGACATGTCATTCTATTGAGAGTGTCATTTTCTGCCGAATAAAGTAACAAAATACTGAGGCTGTAATTTAAAAATCAAAAGTTGTACTCATTTCCGGTGAGACAGGAAGTAACCGAAAACAATTGAATACGTTAATCAATCCTAATTTATGTCATATACTAACATACCAAATCTCGTTTTTTTATCCGGAAAAAATAAATAAATTATAGGGGTAAGCAACTTTTGAGGCGCACCCGGTATATTTTTTAATTCATAGTAAATTAACACCTTCAACAATAATTTGATCCGTTTATTTATCAAAATGGAGCAAGTAATTGGACGTTACACATTTAGCTGACTTAAAATTAATTGTGATCCAAGCCGGTTTGGATCGAGCACAGCTCTTGTATGGAGTTTGGATCGAGATATCCGTGGAAGGTGAATAATGAAACCATTATTCACTAGTGAATAATGAATATTATTAGTATTTCATAAATTCATGTATAATAATCAAATTATAGACATGTCGTGGATAAATACGTTAATCGTGTAAGGTGTAAAGTAGCAAACATCTTTGTCATAGATCATATTACTGAACTCACCAAACACTTAAATAATTATATACAGACTAGGAGACAAGTAACACCATAACATTTTACACATGATTAAATTAGAATTACGTTTGCATTGGTATTAATTACCTACCTATTAGATTACAAATTAAAATCATAATAGTCTTAATAATCTTACAATATAAAATGTTTTATTTTTATTTTTTTTTCAATATATTTCAGGTAAAAATAAGATTTTAAAACGGCAATTGGTGTTTGAAGTTACAAAAAATCTAGAATCTCATTGCCTGTCAGTTTACCATGACACGCAATGCGCAGCAATTTACCACAAAAACTGCATTAGAAAAATCGATTATATTTAAACAAACTCTGTCAAGCAGAAGTTACTAACTTTTGTACGTATTTAGATTTGGCATTTTACCAGCCATCATTTTTCCAAAGTGCAATTCAAACCTTTGAAACTGAACTTTCAGCAAAAAGTAGGTACTACAAACTAAAATATATTTTTGACACTTTAAGGCAACTAATATATTAACATAATTAATTAAATATATACTAAATAGAAATACATACATGACATTACTGAGTTAAAAATTTGACAGATACATACTAATATACGTCTATAAATAATAATCTGTTCTTATTGGATTCAAAACAAAAATTATTTATCACATCATTTATTATATTTTGATATTTTATTAATGTAACAGAATTAATGTAATTTGAGGTTGGTAGTGTTTCCTATTTATTTCACTTGTAATATTTATTTAGAACGATTTGTAAATAAAGTATAGTCATAAATCATTAGATATCAGTTAAAAGATAAAAATAATTTAATTGTATGAAAACAAATCATTAACAAGGATTTTAATATTTTAAAGCAACCGAAATAAATATTCTAATATGGAAACACTCAAAAATTAATAATTATAATTTATTCTCTTGCATGAAAAATATTAGATTAAGCTACGAGTATTTATCTCCACCAGTCTATTATTTTCTGCAAGCAGTTATGAATATTAAATATCTACATTTCCATAATTATTAATACTAAACCAGAAAACATTAAAATAAAATATAAGGCGACTGCCATAACACTGCCATTGAATCAGTTTGTGATTTTTTGGTCATCTATTTCCTATAAAGCTTACATATTTGGCCCGGTAAAAGTGCATTTGGACCAAGTCAACCGGAGGTTGCTATTATAAATCTACCTATACAGGCTACAAATTCGGGGTACAAGCATTGGTATCTCGGTAACCGTAACAGATACGAACATGGTTAAATTGGGGCAAAGTTGCGCTTCGGGATGTTCACCAAGATACCACTAAAAAGTTTTAAAAATTTCAAGGATTGCTGATTTTTTTTTGAAAATCAATTTTATTTTAGCCTGTCGTTACTTTTTAGAAAATCAAAAAAATAATTGCGCATTTTTATAGTATTTTTAGATTTTCAAATTAGCTGAGAATTTGTGAGATACAGAGTCCAACTTAATTTTTTTTAAATACAGACCTGCATTTTTTATTTCAAGTGTTAAAAGATCTTGATCTCCTGAGTACAATGATATGCCACACTTGATACTTTTTTTTGTTTTGGGTACCTTAACAATAACAAAACTATTTAATCATTATTTAAATTAATTTCAAGTCCGATTCTGGTTTTTTAAATTATTTAATATGATTATAATCATCGCAGCAATATTGATCAGCGCTAATTAACATTGAATGAATAAGGAAAATTGAGCCAACTGAAAGATTCAAATAAATAATATCCAGGTCAGCAATTTAAAGATATTATTTTTAACTTTTTTTTATTGTAAATTTGAAATCTCGGTGTACGATCTATAAAAAATAATCGTAGTTATTATAAATAAATCAACTTTGACAAACTAGTGCCTAACGCTCTACATGTTCGAAAGGGACCACCTTATGCACAAATTGATTTTTCGTTCAATTTCATTTATAGCTCTTTGAACATATCTTATGAACTTATACTTCCGAATGTTGAACTCTTTATTGTAAGGTTGAAATGTATTGATTTCACTTTTACAAATGACGTCAAGTAATGTCCCCTCCCCACCCACCCCTTGGCGACAGGAACCTCGCTGGCCATTATACTGCTCTACCATTTCCAATCCGTCTTCTGGCGAAATTATTTGATTGTTTATGTTATATTATATTTATATTATTTTTTATTATTTAATTGAATTTGATTTTCCGTATTCAATGTTTCACCCTACGTCATTGTTAAGTTTGAAAGCTTATCAGTATTCTAACGATGAATAGATTAAATATTTTAAAAAAACAGAGTCAAACTTGAAATTAGTTTAAATAAATTGTTTTCAATTGTCCGAAACAACAAAAAGTATCAAGTGTGGTATACCATTGTACTCAGGAGACCGAGTTCTTTCAAAACTTGAAATAAAAAAAGCAGGTCCGTCTTTAAAAAAGTAAGTTGGCCTCTTTACCTCACAAATTATGAGCTAATTTGAAATTCTAGAAATACTCTCAGATAGCCCTAATAAAGTGGCTATGAGAATGTGCAATTAGTTTTTTGATTTTCTAAAAAATAACGACAGCAAAAAATAAAATTGGTTTTCAAAAAAATATCCGTTTTTTCGAGGTTTTTTCCAAGTAACTCAACAATCCTTGAAATTTTTAAAACTGTTTTGATGGCATCTTGCTGAACATCCTAAAGATCAACTTTGCCCCTATTCAACCATGTTCGTTTCTATTACGGTTACCGAGATACCAATGCTCGTACCTCGAATTTGTAGCACCCTGTTTCTGTAGTATGATGAACCTTTTTATCAAAGTCGAGCTGAACGCCATCGTAGCATCCAAGTAAGTTGGAAAGCAGCATACTTACTTTGATGCAACTTTAATTTTAAAAAGCCTTCCAACTCGACTTTGACCAAACATTCAATACAAGCAGCGTACAGGTGAAAAGCGCGCAGCATTATTCAGTTATATGGCAGCACCCAAGTATAGGTACTTGGTCCAAATATCTTTGACAGTGTTATCACGCCTTAAGAGTCCATTTCACTAGTCCGAAAAGATAGCAGAATAAGCGTTAGCGTTCGGCGTTTAACGTTTTATGTACAATTAATACCATCAAATTTTATGTACAATTAATACCATCAAAAATAAATCCTCTTGTGCGACCGACGGGCTAACTTTAAAAATGTTTTCGAATCTGCCAGAAAGCACTCTGAATCACCTAACGACTTTAATAAACATGTCGTTCCAAAATGGTATTTTTCCAAAATGTCTTAAGACGGCAATAATCATTCCTCTGCATAAAGGATGAGCTCTGCCTGTTTTGCATTAAGGTCTGTTTCTAAGGAGCTTAACTTATCAGTGGCTAGAACTGTTTATTATGCACTTTCTGAGTCGCACCTCAGGTATGCCCTTCCACTCTGGGGTACGTGTTGTGCGACTCAATTTGACCGCATTTTCAGGCTCCAGAACAGAGCTGTTCGGTATTCACTGGGACTAAACAGCAGAACTCATTGCCGGGACTTTTTTAAAAAATTAAAAATATTGACTCTACCTTCCTTATTTATATTTGAATCCGTTTGCCTAATACGTAAACATGTATCAGCTTCTCAAGAAAGGCCATCTCACACTTATCCACTCAGGAACGCAGAGCAAGATCTTTATCTACCTACCCCACGCTCAGAGTTAGTTAAAAGTTCAATATTATACAACTCGAAAAAATGCACAATCACCTGCCATTTGAAATCAAATCCATAACATCATTTTTTCATTTCGCAAAGCATTGAACTCTTATTTACTAGACAAGGCTTTCTACGCCGTAAATGAATTATATTTTGAAAATCAAATTTGATCTTGTAAACACTGGTCTAATGTTTGCTATTGCTATATTTACTAATGACATCGAAATGAATTTATTTAGAGGTCATTGATATTTTACTATAAACTAGCTAAATATTTTTGAATATTATTTTTATTTTTTTGTTCTTTTGACATTATAAACATTTATAAATGTTTATTTTAACAATAAGACTGACAATATTATTTGTATAATGTTTTGTACTATCTTTTGTTTGTTTGTTTGTGTACCTTGTTTTTTTACTTTGTTTGTTAGTTTACCTTTGTCTACAAATTGAAAAATTTTTTGACAATAAAGGCATTTATTTATTTATTTATTTATGTAAAACTGGCTAGGTAATTTTACACAAATAAAGAAAGAAATTAAAGATAACGGATTATACTACGTCGGTATCGTAGCACATTTTTAGATAGCTTCTTTATTTTTAACATTTTGATGGTCAAACACATATAAACAACAACAAAATATACCTTATGTTTGGACTAAATTAAAAAAAAAATAATCTCGAAAATAAAGAAATAATTTAAAATTCCGTTACAATACCGACAATGATTGAAGTTTTGTGATTACAGTGATGTATAATTTATATGGTTTTGTAACAAATTGCTCGCTATCTTATGGCAAATTCTGAAGCTCTGCAAGCCTTAATCAATGCACGTGTGTTTGGAATTTTGGGTGTGGCTTAACACGACAGGATCGGGCTAAGCTTTAGGCAGATTTCTGAAATATAATATATATTTCCTTCCGCACACCCGCTTTATCCGAATAACTAAAAAAAACAAATCCTTCTCTCTCTCCCTCTCTCTAATCATCACCATCCTACCAACTGATCCTTCTTATTATCATCGTCCTCGTCCTCTTCCCTGCACTGCGACAGGCGTCTGGCGTTGGCCGCCATCAGCCTGGAGGGCAAACTGTTGCTGTGGTTCTGGAAGTAGCGCTGGAAGAAAGCCGAGCCGTTCACCTCGTCCGAGCGCATCACCTCCTTCAGGTCGGAGTCCTCCACGTCGCTTTCGTCCGTGGCCGAGGAGGAGGAGGTGGCGTCGCTGGGGGAGTCCGCCGGGGAGGGTGAGGGCAAGGGGGATGTGGCTTGCACCACGTCCGATTCCATCTGACGGTGGCGGAAAAAAGGGGGTGAGTGTGGTGGTGCAATGCAACAGGTGGGTGTTTCAACAAGAGAGTTGCGAGATGGTTTCCTTTTTAGATTAAGGTAAATTTCGTTTATTTCGTTGTAGCATTAGAAGTTAATAAAAATTAGACAAAATGTTTTCTGTGAATTTTCTTTAAAAAATATTTATGTTAACAACCAGTACTATGCGACGGCGCTGTTCGCAGGTAAGCAATGGGTCGTACATATACCGGGTGCGTCTCAAAAGTGGCTCACCCCTATAACTTTTTTATTTTTTCAGATAAAAAAACGAAATTTGGTATGTTTGTATATGACATAAATCAGGATTGATTAACGCATTCAATTGTTTTTGGTCACTTCTTGTTTCACCGGAAATGACTACAACTTTTGATTTTTAAATGGCACCCTCTGTATTTTTTTACTTTGTTCGATAGAAAATAACATTCAGAATAGAATGACATATCATATGTCAACTTTTGACATTTTCGCAAATGGTTTATTTGAAATTATAACTTGTGGTTAGTAACGAAAATTTGACCCGAAATACCAAGTGTATGTTATCAAATTATAGGTAAAAAAATGCTTTTTCCAAATATGCTAATAAGCCACCCTCGTTCCATTTGAAAAAATTGAGATATGATTAAAAATACGATTTGAGCATTTTCTAACTGGCCAGGACAAGACACTAAAAACATTAGAAGATGAAATCTATTTTTCCAAGGCTCCATGATTAAGAATTAGTGTTTTTAACATAGCCATGACACTCTAGATTGAACTTTAAAACACGATTTTTTATTAAGCGAGAGTGTCAAAAGTTGACATATGATATGTCATTCTATTCAGAATGTCATTTTCTATCGAATAAATTAAAAAAATACCAAAGGTGGGTGCCATTTAAAAATCAAAAGTTATAGTCATGAAGTGGTCAAAAACAATTGAATACGTCAATCAATCCTAATTTATGTCATATACTAACACACAAAATCTCGTTTTTTTATCTGAAAAAATAAAAAAGTCATAGTGGTGAGCCACTTTTGAGACGCACCCAGTATAATAGGTCTTTATTAGAATACTATACATATACTTGAGGACTCATACGAATGCGATTGCGTTGCTTCAAAGCAAACAATGGACCACATTCTAAACGAATGCACTAGCGTCTATGTCTCATTAATTTACTCGGGCACCCAACAATATTGCCGTTTGTTGTCCCTTAATTTCATGATTAGCTAAACCAAAGGTTAAACTAAAGATGTTTATTTTTACGGTTTATTTCAAAGTTTGATTTTAATTTGGTTTAATTTGTTAGAACGTTCTCAATAGCACGGATTAGGTATTAAGTATACTTATACTTATTAATAGTAATCAGAATACTAAATGATGCAAAAATAAATACTTCGGAAACAGTCTTCAGATAAAGTCTGACAAGTAATGATCCAAATTGGGAATCCAGCCGGACCAAAGTATAGTTGGTTGGCGAAATTTTCGAAAATTCTTAAAATGGAATCTAAAAAAAAATTTTGTAACATATATCAGATTCCATTAAATATAGTAATATAAATTTTCCTCGAAATTTTCATAAATAAAATTTTAACTCACAAAGTTAACTGAAAAATAAAATTTACCTATGCAACTACAAGATTTTTATAACAATTAAGTAATACTGATGCATAAAGCTAGGTTACATATTCGGTTAAATTATGTATATAAATTATGTCTCCTTCTTCATTATTTTAAACAAAATTTTAATTTATTTATTAAGAAAAAAAATTCGCAGTATTTTAACTATCTCTTTTGACACGGGTATAATAAAAGCACCTATTAAAATTAATTAAATAAATGATAATCAGAAAACAAGTTACTAACAACAACAACTTAATTATTATATTTTAATTAAAACAAAAAAAACTGAAAAAAAACAATAAGTATGTGTTTTTGTTCTCTTATGACACAAGTATATTTATAATCTATACGTAGAATAAAAATGTAAGTTCATAAAAAGGCCAAGACATTTTTTAAAATCGTACTTAAGTTACATATTCACAATTTTTTAAACGATGTACTTAAACAGCCGTTAAACGGTAGCCTACTAAAATGCCGTTAATAGATATTGTGACGTTCATGTCGGCGGAAAGTAATGCCTAGCCTCAAACTTTCTGCAAGAGCACCTGTGGGTCAGTGGCTGAGGTTATCGCTTCGTAAGCGAATGGTCCGGGTTCAAATCTCAGGACGACCACGACTTTTTTATATTTTTTTTTGCTTATAGCGTGATCTTATTGCATTGGTTTCACTCTTTTTATTTGGATTGGTTTATTTATTTGGCGGGTTGGTTAGCGTGGTTATTTAGAGGGTGTTAATTCATTGGTTAGTTGGTTATTTGGTGGGGTTGGTTGATTTTTACTAATTTATATTTGTTTTTTATATTTTTTATCAGTGTCGAGGTTAGTTGCGTTGGTTAAGTTGGTTATTTGGTGGGGTGGATAGCGTTGGTTAGTCCTTATAAAATTTCTATATTTCATAAAGCCGTCAAGTGCGTCACATCAACGACGTCATACCCATTAACGGCATTTTAGTAAGCTGCCGTTTAACGGCAGTTTAAGTACAGCCTTTTTTAAAAGACTACTGCCATTGGTGTGGTGATCGGGAACGGTCGAAAATATGCGAGATAACTTTTGCTTTTTAACTAAGCTAGAGTGATATGCAGGTTGTCTGCCCCATCAGGATGAATACAGTAAAATTTACACTTCGGCATCATCTGATTCTGATTCAGGACTAAAGTTACTTAATCAGACATTTTTATGCAGCCGTTTTTATACGATCGCAAAGGTGAGTCACTGAAAAATTGCGTCCCAATTTGAGGACCACCAAGCAGTGCGAGTGCCGCGTCGGTCATGCCGGTCGCGCCATATCATGTCAGATAATGTCACACGCGATACACGCGACTCAATTTGCGCCTAGCCTAATAATGGAAGACTGTAAAGCCAATTAACTAGTCATTGGGGTTTACACATAAACCTATAAAGATTCACAATCAGGAATCGCCAGTAAATTTCACAAAGTTTTGCAACAGGATAATTTGTGGCTGCAAATCTCAAGAGAATCTGAAGGAATGCTTCAAGTACGAACTTGCTCCATATCCACTGGCATTATTTGAAAACGGACTTTTACTAAAACTTCTAGAAAAAATACAGCCCTTCAAGTTTTGGCAAGTGTTTTCAAACACACAGATTTTGGAAAAGAAATAATTTTTGACTAATTTATATGGAAAAAATAATTCGATAAAGACGTTGAACGGTGATTTAAGATACATAGAATATAATAATGATTGCATGTCAACGACTGAAATCGATCTCCGCATTGCCCCATACTTCAGAAGTTCAAAAATGCCACTCCATGAGGGTTTGCCATCAGATTCAAGAATGGCTTGAAAACTACTTTAGAGTGGAGATGGAACAAAGTCAAAGTAATTTCTTCAACCCATAAGAATGAAATTAGCACCAGCGCAGTGCCAGAATTTATTTTAAATATGATATTTTGCAAGTGCAAAAGCGGATGTAGGAAAAACTGCAGTTGCAAAAATGCAAATATTTTTGCAACTGCAAATGATTCAGATGAAGACCTATAAACATGGAGTTGGATTTTTACAAAATTTCTAGTCTCTGAGAATAAATATAGATTTTTTTAAAGGAAATGTCATGATCCAATTGACTGGACCGATTTGATTGAAAGCAAGAAAGTATATACTATATCATTATTTCATATGTTATGTCACTTTTTTCTAAATTAGAGCTATGAGCTATGTATTGACTATTATATATCGATTTTTATAAAAAATATTACATCTGATGGATTGGATCGATTTACATCATAATCCCCTAATCGGAGAGGGGAGTTTGTTCTAATTTGTTCCCAATAGAAACTTAATTGATTCTATCATAGGATAGAACAAGAAATGAAGACATTAGACTACAAAATAAAACATTAAATCACCACAATACACCAAAACGCTTTTACTTTTACACTGGACGCGCGTTTCGCTAACCATGCCCTCATCATCAGCAGATGATTATAAACTAAAATACAATCTACAATTGGAGCGTTTATATACTCGCTCAGTGGGCACAGAGTGGGCGTGGCAAAATCTAGCCAACCGAGTCAGAACCCACCGAGCGTAACAGTTAGATTTCCACCACTAGAGTAGTAGGAACAAAGAACTTGAAGGAATTGGACCGTTGTCTCTGTTCATACTATCTTTACATTTATTAATTCTGATGCTTTCATATGCATCTAATTGCCTGTAATTTGAGACTTGTTTAAGTAATTTTAAGTTATTAAGATCTATACAATGTTCTTTATCAACAATATGTTCGGCAACGCAAGATTTATCAGGTCTACCATATCTTATCTGAGCTAAATGTTCTTTAAATCTAGTCAATATTGATCTTCTAGTTTTCCAAACCAGCATATTTCTGATTACAATCTTTACACGAAATTTCATAAATACCCGACGGTGACATTAGACTACAGATGGGAATAGAAGGAACAATAATGATTGATATCAAACAAAAACAATTAGTACCATATTGTTTTTGTTCTATACCACGTTCAGAGAATACAAAACGAGAGAATTCCAAAACAAGTATGTCATTGGATACCACCTGGTAAACGAAAGAGAGGACGTCCCAAGAAAACATGGATGGAAGGAATCAGGAAATCAATGAACGAGAAAAATCTAACCGAATATCAATGGGAAAATCGCACAAGGTGGAAGCTAGGCATCGGACAACCTCGTAGGACGTTCTGACCCGAATGTATATATACCTATATAGAAACTTAATTATACTGGACTAATATTCCGTCGAGCAGTGGACCTTACAATTATTGAAGAGAATGTGCAGATGACCCCCCTCTCACCACGCAAGAATGCATATGGTACCTGAAGAAGAAGAAGAATGTCTGTCCAAACATTCAAGGATGATTTG